GGATTTTTTATCGGGACGCCCCTTCGGGGATTTTTTTTACCCCGTCCCCGAACCCGACCCGAAATATTATACCCAAACCCGAACCCGAACCTGAAAATATTTTATATATAATTAATATAAAAATATAAAATATTATATATATAATTAATATAAAAAATATAAAATATTATATATATATATAATCGGGGCGGGGCGGGGATAACTTTCCCCGAACCCGATCCCGACACAAAAAAATCCTCAAAAAAAATCTCCGAACCTAAACCCGATATCATTCAACTCGACCCGACCCAAACTTGACCGAATTTCGAATTTCTCCATCAGATTCGGGTCATACTGCGATCCCTATTCTCAACGTTAAGGTGTATTTCCTAAGACTCCCCTATTCCTATTTTGAACAATCCTCCTATCAAAGATTTAGGGACAAAGACATAGACGTTGATAGTGGGATCCTCTGTTTTGTGTCAGATAATGAATGGGGTCCCTACATATGAAAATAATATCAACGCGTGTAAATAAATAGGGTGGGGTTAATGTGTCCCTTTCAGTACTTGTTAACAGAGGGTTGGCAAAATCATGTGGGATGAACTATTGTCTTGATAACGGTAGTTAAGGTGGGTGATCCATTATTTATTTATAAATTCAAAATGATGCAGAATCCACCATCGAAATGAACTACACACCAATATCTCTCCATAAAAAAAAGGATACAAAAACTTTTATATACAAGTTTAAAATGATGCAGTTTAGTTTATTTGTTTTTCTTTATATTTGATTGACCAAATTCAATATTAGAGGATATAAAAACTTTCGAAAATTAAGTAATTTTATTTGAACGATTAATTACCTTGTTCATATTTATTCTCTCACATTTTTTAGATCATTAGATATACATCCATTAAGAACATTCTTCTTTCTTTCTCTAAAGTCTCTCTTTCGAATAGGATTAAGATTAAATCTAAATTCTATATAAAAAAAGACTTTTGAAAATTCCCGCGATTGAAGCAGCGTTGCAAAAGAAAATGACAAAATCTATGTGTTGTGATGGATGATGAGTGCATGTTTCCATCAAATGGGAACATGGTGCATGGTTTATAAACTTTTAGTATATTAACGCGTGGTATGATCGAACACAAAAATATAACTTTTTGTTACTAGTATAGAATTTTCCCTTCTTCAAAATGGGACAAAAGATGATTAAATAAATAAAACTTTGGGCAACTATCACTAAGAGTAAACTTAGAAGTTTGCTTCTTAAAGAAAGATGTTTAATTGCTTAACTAATCCATCATTGGTAAAGAGTAATGCTTTTAATTATTTTAATTAAGAATGTATATAATATTACATAGTCCAACTTCACGCAAAAGTTGTCACAATCGAAGTGATTGTTATGCGGAAAAGAATCATTATAGTATAATATGCATTTAATACCTATCGTATAGTTTTGGTCCGTTTTAATACTTAAATTTTTAATTTTTTTGAAATCATAATTAATATTTAATATTTAGTTTTAATATTTTTTTTTCAAAAACCCCAAATATTATTTACGGCATACGATATTATACATTGATTAAATTAATCTTCATCCCCATTTATTTAGATCTTCATTTTGTAAATTTCAAATGGAGATGGGGACAAGAAAACTTGACAAGGGAGGATTCGTGTGAATTATTGACTCTTATTTTTGAAAATAAACAAACCTCCATCATCAAATGTTGCTTTTATATGCCATTATTATTAAGTAATGACAAAATATTCTATTTTGGCTCAACGTTTATTCCTTACTTAACGTTTAGTTTTTATTAATATCTCTTTACAAAATTATTAATACCTCTTTTAAAAATTAAATAAATATATGACAAGGATTCAGTTACTCGTGGATTTTCAAAATTTATCAAAAATATTTTTTTATGTTTTCTTAAAAAAAATACCATATGTAAATGTTTATATTAATTGTGAATTTATATCGACGTTATGATTACATCAACATTTATATATTTCTGTGAACTGGATTTATGTGAATGGAAGAGGAAAGAATAATCTATGTATGATGATTAAGGCTATAATCTCTTTGGTGGATAGATGAAATTAATGTAGCATACGCTTGTCCTTTAGTCATAGTCCTTGCAAATATATATTTATGGGTAAACTACGTATTTAATACTTAAACTATCAGTTTTGATATATTTAGTATTTAAACTTTCAATTTTTTCAAAACCATACTTAATGCTTAATTTTTATTTTATTTTAGTATATTGCCATTAAAAACTTAGCGAAACTGTTACCTCCTAACACTTTTTATGGGTAAATTATATCATTCACCACTCAACTATTTTCTCATTCTTATTTTGGTATTTGAAGTTTAACTTTTTTAAATTTAATTACTTAACTTTCAAATTACTCCTAATTTAATCTCTCTAAATTTCAAATTTAATTTTTTTCATTTTAATTATGTATTAATAAAATAAAAATATTACGCCACAAAATATTATTAATAAAAGAAATAAGAGTGATTAAAACATGATCAATTTGAAAGTTGAGTAGTTAAATTGTAAATTTTTAAACTTTAATGACTAAAATATGAGTGAGAAGATAGTTAACGGAAGAATGATGTAATTTATCCATAAAAATGTCACATGCAAAAGTTCCGTTAAATTTTTAAAGGAGGGATAATAAGATGGAAAAAAACTAAATGTTAGGTATGTTTTTAAAAACTTGAAAGTTTAGGCATTAAAACAGACCAAAACTAATAGTTTAGGTGTTAAAAGCGTAATTTACCATACATTTATACGCATATATCAATTTAAATCAAATAGAATAATTTATTTCTATTTTACTTTAAAATTATTAAATAAATGTAAATAAATGATTGAGATTAAAATTCTATATATTAATAATACTATTCGAGTTTTTATCAATAAAAATGTATTCATTTTCAATCATATAGTGCAGCTGCCAAAAGAAACTTTGGTACTAAGCCATTTGGTGATAGGCCATTGTCTTTTTACACCATTATTTCCTTCTTTCCCTCGTCATCTCTGTAACATTTTCAACTTCTAATTGAACATGTAGGAGGATGACTATGACCAAACCAATACATGTCTTCATTTATTTATTGAGACACTTTTTAAACGTAATCGTTAAGAGACAATATATCCTCTCAAAAAAAGCTTCTTTATTTATTAATTTATTTAGTTTGAAGATATGGACCATGAATTGTTCAAAACCTCATTTGAAGGTATATATCTTAACTGGGAATAAATTGTGGGACATTTCGAGGCTAAGTTCAACTTGAAAGTAAATTATGGTTTGGTCAGCAATCAGCCATGGAATGAAAATTTTCCACCACCTAAGAAGAAGTACTAGATCTAATCATGAATTACATCCACTCAAATTGGGTTGCTATAAATAAAAATGTTTTAATTAAATAATGGTTTTCAATCTCAAAATTAAAAAAAAAATAAAATCTAGCTTGAATGAAAGCGAACCTAACCCTAATTCAACTTATCATCTACTTTATTCAGATATCAAAATCAATTTTCTATTATGGACATACATATCTACTAATTTCTTTAAAGTACGCTTGGCATGCTTATCAATTGGTACTCACTTCATCATCCAGCATTTGCCATTTTTTTGGTATAAATTTCTTCAAAGCTCAACATTTTGAGGTGGCTTATACATGCATGCATATATGTGCCTAACTTTGAAATTCCATCTACCCGATACAAAAGGATAAATCACTTGGAAACTCGTCGAAGCTTTTCAATGCATGAAAATGTCAGGCGTAAAATGCATGGTAACTGCCCAGACTTTTCCGAAAGAAAAAAGTTGAATTTGGAAACATGAACGACGAAGGGAAGGGGAAAGCGTGAGCAGGGTGTCGCAGTTACACGTGTCGAAAATCCATAAGGGAAAACTAAGAGGGTAAACCAAGCAAAAGTATTTTCACGTGGATCCCTCCATATAGTGGGTGTGTGCCCAAAATTTACAACATTTTGCCCTTTATTTCTGATGTTTGTTCGTAAGTTAACCCGCCAACACTGGCTGAATTTTTTTTTACTGCCAGCCTTTTACCTCAGTTTACCTCTCCTTGTCTCACTCTTCTTCTCGTATCTTGTCGTCTTTCCACCCTCATGAACCTGATCAGAGTATCACATGATTTTTTATTAAAAAAACCGATTATTATTACCATAACTTTTATCTCTATATAAGCTTGTTAAGTTAATGGTAAATTATTGGGAATAGTGGATCAGACTGTTCAGTACTCACACTGGCTTTTGGTCACAGCAATTACAAAGCTAAAAGGAAACTGGAGAATCCATAAGAAAACAAAAGAAAGTGCGAATGTTATTTTTAAGGAGTATTTATAATATAATTTTTAGATCTTTGAGTAGGATATTTAGCACTCGTATGTTTATTTTTATACATTTTATAATAGTGATCAAACTAAATTTAGTTCACGTTTTAATGGATATTTTAAAATTATATAAAAATTGATATTACAGTAAATTTGAAATAATAACGTTAATTAGCTTTAAATCATTTAAAAATATTAAATAAAAGAGAAAGGGACAAGAAATAAATTTGAAATTGATATTTTGTATAATTAGTTTAAACAATTGTTTAGTATCGATGATCTAACCATGTTAATATTGTTGGCTTAGGGTACTTGTTTTGTGACCCCAATAGTACTTGGCATAGAAGCTAGGTAAGCCTTCAACTCAAGAAAATAAATTTAGTTTATTTTTCAGTGTTAGGGGTTTGGTTATTTTCTAAAAGTGTGTTTTACCCTGGCAAAGATTAGTCAGCTCATATTTTTTCTTCTTTCTATTTCATTGCAGAAGCTGCCTTTAATTCATCCTAAACATCCTTTCTTTTTCTTTCTTCATATCGAATTTTCAGGATTTTACAGCTAAAAGAACAGGTGATGATACTGAAACTGTTTTTCTATCAACCATTTCAGAAAAAGATATTTGCACTTCCTTGTTTTCTTTTCTGTTTTTGTCACTAACAACTCTAAGAAAGAAAATTTTATGGTTTATGACATGTTAACATGAACACTGGCATTGGTAATAGAATCACAAACAGGGCAAGTGCCTACCAGAGTGGACCCACAAGCTGTACAGAGACAAAGATGCCTGCATGGCAGCAACAGCACACTCGACTCCCTCTCCCCGCACTTCTTACACTTCCTATTATTGTTCCCCACCGCCGCACAACCGCCGCTCACTTGTGGTTGAGGTGGCACCACCTTGCGCCACCCTTCATCGCTGCTGCCACAGCTAGACTCAGCATCGTCCGCCAACGAGGCTGCTGCTCCGCCGCTCATGTGGAGTTCCTCGCTAACGTGGGCCAGGACTTGTTCTAAATTGGTGCGCAGGGACTTGGCAGTGGCTCCGTTCGTTTGTGCCATGTCTCTCCACAGTTGGTTCTCCACGTACAGGCTTTTAACCCTTTCTTGAAGAATCCAGTTTAGTTTCCCCATCCTTTGTATCTCTTCATCCTTTTCCATTAGTTTCTTCATTGCCCCTTCTTGGATTGCTGCAATCAACATTCTCGATTGCCTATTTCTTCTTTCTTCAATTTCAAATCTCACCTTTTCAGTCTGTAATTAATGCAAAATCCATATCAATAAATTGACAAGTTAATTGAGCATTAAAGAAAGCTAAGAAGAGGTGGTTTTTCCCATTCATTGAAACAGCTGAAATAAGAAAAGTTGATTATTTTAAAGGAAACTCACGTGTTCAACAATGAAACGCTCAATTTCTTGTTGTTGGAGTTGAATCTGGGAGAGGACGTCATCATCAAGAAGAGAGGAAAAAGCAGAGAGTTTGGTCTTTTGAGAGACGAGATATGATTCAAGGCCATGGACGAATGTATCTCTGAGCCTTTTTCTTGGTGCTGAGACAGGGATATTCATATTATAGGTAAGGCCACTATCAGCTTTGTTGATTGAAGTTTTGGCTGAAATCGGATCACAAAGAAGGGTTTGATATAATGGAAAAGCCTGTGAATCTTGTGGCATTGAATCAACCAAAGGAACTCGAATATCCATCTGGGTATTGCTCATCCCTTGATTCGTATTCATAAAACCTCTGCAACAAACAAAAAACAAAAACCCATATAAAAAAAACGAAAAACAAAGAAAGAAGAACTAAACACATTTGTAATAATAAGAAGACGAACCTGGTGGTGGTTAACTGAGGAGGGAAAGGATTCATATGCGGAGCTTCAACTGCCATTGGATAAAAAGCAAAGCTGTGGGGTATATTTATTCTTTGCTTCAACGTAAATTGGTGTGGGAATAATATAGAGGGATACAAGGGGTGGAGAGAGGGGGAAAAGAGAGAGTCTTTGGCTTTGAAGCGGGAGAGAATAAGGGGAAAGAGATGAGCTTGCAAAACAAATAAAGATAAACACAGATATAGGTGGCGACTGGTTTTGAGACAAACTCGACCAAGACTTCGTTTATAATAATAATAATAAAAAGGGGGAGGGAATCAAATTACTATTTCTTGTACACACAATATTTTTCTTTTTACAAATTAGCAAGACATGGGGTGGCAGCTTTTGTCTCTAAATTTGGTTACTATTCAAATTACTATTTAAATTGTGGACCAGAAGGGGTAATATGGGAATATCAAGTCGGGTCCGTCGAATGTGAGATTTTTTAGTGCTTAAAAAGAAAACCAAACACCACGTCGCTGTGATTTTTATCAGTAACTGACATGCGGCATATCTGCCACGTTTCAGCTACATGGAGCTGTTCCACGAAAGCCTATCACTACGGTTAAGCACCTACCCACCCACCCCCCGTCGTCATCATCTACAATTTGAGAAAGAAAAATAAACAAAACCGGTGAAGACCCGTTTGTGAACGTGACCCAGTAATGGACCCCGCAATCTTATCGCACGTGCGAAGTGTGGGGTTGTTTCTTTTTCCAAATACGCGTAATAAAAACGATCAAATTTATATTTAAAAGAATTGTGCCTAGAATTTATGAGTTTAAATATCAATAGCTGTATGAATGGTAATGGGTCGGGTTTGAGGCGGGTTTTGCTCGTCTCGTCCTTGAATCCGAAATGAATCTCCATTCTCAACCCCGACCTGATCTCCGATGGATTTTTTATCGGGGCACCCCGTCAGATATTTTTTTGCCCCGTCCCCGAATTTGACCCGAAATATTATACCTGAACCCGAAAATATTTTATATATAATTAATATAAAATATATAAAATATATATATATATATATATATATATATAATCGGGGCGAGATACCTTGGCCCGAACCCGACCCGAAAAAATCTCCGAAAAAAATCCCCAAACTCGAACCCGACCCGATATCATTCAACCCGACCCGAACTTGACCGGGTTTTGGGTTTTCCCGTCGGGTTCGAATCATACTGCCATCCCTAAATAACTGCAGCAGTGTGATCGAACGTTTATTATCAAATGATTAAAAATATTTAAAACATATACTAATTTATAATAACCTTAGTTTTTTTTTAATGCTTAATTTTCCTTTTCAAGATATTACTATTAATTACGTAAGTTTATTTCTTCAAATCTAATGCTATTAATATTTTAACGTAGATTTAATGCTTTCAAAAGAAAACGTCAATTTTATGAATTACGTTTGTAGTTGGTAATATGAATTAAAGTTAGTAAATTTTTAATGTAATAGAAATTTATTTTTTAATTTCAGCAATACAATCATTTAAATTTAAAATTTTGATCGAGATTGTTCAAATTAGATATATAGTAATAAAAGAAACAGATTTGGATAATAATTACAAGAGCTTAGTCAACCATTTACTCATATATGCATGCATTGGCTAAACAGGCAATGAGTGCAATAACTGTCATTTGTCTTATTGTTTTTCTTTAATTGATGGCTAATTAATTAAAAAACTTTAACTAATATTTTTACTTACACATATCATTAAATAATATTTAATTGGCAACCTATTTGATTGTTGTTAGATTTTATTAAAAAAATACTCCTTTTTCTTCGAATTTATTTGAATAATTTTTAAAAAAAAATCAACAATGAAAATATTTAAATTATCAATTAAATATTTTTTTGATGATTATATGTGAAAATGTTAAGTAAAAGTGTCCATTTAAGTTTTTTTTCACTTTAAATATTTAGAGTTGTTAGTATAAATGACTGGTTTCTTAAATAATAAAAGTTAAATAGTTTAATTTCATTAATTTGATTTTTTTATCTAAATGAAAGTTAAAATTAAAATGATATATAATGTAAACTATCCAATAAATTTAATGTGATATTATTATTGCTCAACAGTATTTAGACTTTTTCAATATCCAGATATAAATTTTCACGAAAGAGTAAAAAAAAACCCACTAAGTTACTTTAATTGCATTAATCTCGAATTCACAAGATAAGAAGCATTGAAAGTTTGTTTTCTGACTTTAGGTTATATTTCAAATGCAAACAAGGTAATTAAATTAACTTTTCCATTAGTAATGATAAAACATATAATCATAAATCTAAGGGTAAATTACACCAATGATCACTAATGTTTGAGTAAGTTTTTTTCTCCATTAAAGTTTCAAAAGTAACAAATTAGTCACTAATATTATCTATTTGTAACAAAATTGTCACTCCACCGTTATCTCCGTCAAATTAATGACATGACTGTTAAAAAAATGTTAATATTCAATAGTTCCTTAAACCACTATTAAAACATCAAATAAGTCATTAGACAATGATTTTATATCAATTTTACCCACAAAAATTTTTTAATTTAAAAATATAAGAGACTATATTCATCCTTATCCGAAAAAACAATAACATAAAGCTAACACCAAGAATTATGAGCAAAAGTGAAGCAAGTTTATCACTGTTTCTTCACCATCAATTGAGTTCGCCATAGTTATGACTTTTATACCTAGAATCGAAGTGGATATTACATACAAAACTACTCCAAATGCAGTTGTGCACAAACAATAATACAAAAATAAAGAACGGTCAAAGCAATAAAAAGAGTTTAAACATTCAATAGTATTTGGTCCCTTATGTCTAACTATTTGCAACAAAATCTCTTAGTTTTGCTAAAATTAAAGAAACTCATAAAAGTGAATCCATTACAAATCAACATATTAGAATCAATTGTGATATTTAAGCATGGTAAAATTATGGTCCCAAGAAGTATAGAAAGAAAAAAATTATCAGTTTCAAATAAAGCGTGTCTATTTTAAATCTGGGTATAAGCATATGCAAGCTAGAGATCTGGGAGTTAGTTAGATTCAAAAAATACTTATTCTACATTATAGTGGAAGTTGTATTATTATTTTTGGGTGGAGAAATGGTGGAGGGACAAATAAGTTGTTTCTAGTCAGCTGACACTTTTGAGGAAGATATCTGAAATTGAAATGAAGTTAGGTAACATGAAATCAGTAAAACAATGGAAACCAGGGATAAATGAGTTGTTTTGGTGTTAGCTAAAGCATTTTCTACAAGGTTTGGGTCACTTGCTCCCTAGCTCGGATGGTCAAGTCTGCTTAAGATATCAACGTCAACACTTAAATCACGTTATCCTTCAACTTCTTTAGATGGTGACACCTCTATTTTCTTGATTGCAACAACCTTCAAAATACATAAAGAGAACATTTGTATGTTTTCTGTTACTCTTTGGTTCATTACCACCTATTGAAGCATAACTTGTGCGAGAAAAAAAATTATTGCCACACAAACATTAGAAAAAATATAATACCTCCCTTGATCATTGTTTGGCGGGTCAAATTCAAAGATTCAAGTAAAAGCTAACCCACCATTTTTTTTGTCATTTGTCAATTATGTTAACATTCAAAGTAACATTGTTGGTCTCATATCTTTTCTCGAAGTTTACAAATTGGCTAATCTCAAATTAGAAATTTTTGAGGGTAAATTTGATATAAAATCATTGTTCAAGTACATATTTGATGTTTTAACAATAGTTTAAGGGTAAAACTGAATATTAACCTTTTTATTAATGTTGCAATATCACCAGTTTAACGGAGATAACGGCAGGGTGACTATTTTGTTACAAATCGATAACACTAGTTACCAATTTGTTACTTCTGAAACTTCAGTGGACAAACAAAAACTTACTCAAACATTCATGACTATAGGTGTAGTTTAGCCTAAAATTTAATCTCTAACGTTTATGTATTTATCATTTTAGTTTCATTTTTAGTTAATTTTAATCCTTAATTTTCTTAAATAATAAAATATTTATTTTAATGTTCACTTAATAGATTCTCTTAAATAGTTTTAATACTTTAAGATATTGTGATATTTTTAAATTATTTAATGACATCTCATATAATACAAAAAAATATTATTATTAATTACACATAAATTATTATTTCATTTTCCACTTAAAATTTTTAAAATTGAATATTGAATTAATATAATTTGTTTTAAAAATGTTTTAATTTTAGTTTAGAAAAGTTTAAAGTATATTATAAATAAAAAGGCAAAAGTAAAATATAACTACATAATAAAAGTTAATGGAGTAAAAATGTAAATATTAACCGCTTAATTCGTCCCAGAAAGAGGGAATGTATCATATCTTTTACTACATCTCGATCATGAAAATGCTATCAAATCCGTCAATATTTGGTAATATTTATTCTCAATGTTTAATTCAATGCTTATCTTTTTTTTTCCTGATCAGGTCGATATACGTGTATAAATAAACAAGATTTATTGTGATTGATACCATACATGTATACCCTACTTCCACATACTTTTTTAATGTCCGTGTATATTATTCTTCTGTCTTTGTAATAAATAAATAATATATCAATGATAAAAAAATAAAAAATGCGAAAGATAACATTATTATATCAATGATTAAATGATATTGATATTGTAAAAAAATTATTATAAATATATAATTATCCATAAATAACATTTTTAAAATACATAAAAGAGCACATATTAATATTTAAACTTTTTAAATATTATTTCCTTAAAAAATTAAACCAACTTATTAAGTAAAATGAAGGGATCATACAAAAAAACAAAATATCTCGCTCTCGCATGTGAAAAGGGATAATTAGAAGGTCAATACATGCGTTACATAGGGATTGATGCACGATTATGAGTTTGCCAGACGAGGTTTCGGTCGTATTTTTTCAGTTTTTTTTCCTATTAAATATTTGGAATTTCCAGGCCTCTTTTCTATTCTCTAAATTTCCTAACGTCAAAGTCAATGCGTTAGGGTGAGGGATATTTGAGGAAATTGGAACAAGAAAACGGACCGAAATGAATGGGATAACAATATTGATACCAATACCTAATGTCCCAGATTATCTGGGATCTGTTAAATTGATTTTCCCAGCAAATTGATTTTCCCTCATTCACAACCGTTCCTGTCTAATCTTTCGGTACTTCTTTTTATTGCTTTAGTTCCATCACATCCTATTGTGGTTTTCAGTTTAAACAAAGAAAAAAAGAAAATGCAATTCCGAACAAAAAGTAAGTGTAGATAAGGCGGATTGAGCATAAAAATTCATGATTGGACC